TCCCAATTACTTACTTCAGGAATGTCTTAAGAACCAACATTTAAAACAATTTCTCTTTGTTGTTGGGGTTTCGGTACTTCTGAACTATAAAGTTTTTTTTATAGAAAAGTTGAATTGCGGCTACGATTTCTTTTTTATTGCTCACGATCGTTCCATATTGATTTCGGATTGATGTTATTCTAGCTTTGCTTTTAGACATTTTTGATCTCAATACCCTCCGTCATGTTTGTGTTATCCTCTATAGTATTATAATTTCTAATGTCTTTCCGAATTTCCTTTTTAATTGTCTTATTTAGTTCTGCGTATTCCGTATTATCACGATTGGTTTGTCTTCTCTGTTCTATTAATCTTACTGTATTTGCACTTAATTTACCCTTACCTCGATCTCGTTTTGGCTTTCCACATACTTTTTTGGTTGTTACTTGTATGCTGTTTACTCGGCTGTTTACGAGTTTTGTTGCCAGGTCGTTCATCTCCATTTGTTCTAATAAATTAATATCGCTGTTTACTTTCTAGTATTTTCAGAAATTCGTCTTTATTCTGATTTAGTTCGTTTGCAGTTGGGAAGCTTGGTTTATCTAGTAACTTACTTCTTTCTATTCTGCTGTTCACAATTATGGTTGCACGTACAAGCCGATGGTCGCTACCTGTGTCGAAACAATTTAATACAGAGACGTTTTGGCAAATATCTCGTTTATTACATAGTATGTAATCGATTTCGCTTTTTTACCTGGCCATTTGGGCTACTCCAGGTCCTTTTTCTCTGAGGGGGCTTCTTGAAAAAATAATTCATGCAGAAACGGTTTTCCTTTCTGAGATAATCCAGCAGTACTTCACCTCTTGCATTTCTAGTACTTAAACCAAAGTTGCCTATATTCTGAGTCATCTGTCAATTTTTCACCGATCTTTGCGTTTAGGTCCTCCATGACTATAACGAATTTTGCATTTTCTGCTTTTTGTGCATTGGTGATATCTTCGTATAGTTGTTCTATTTCTTCGTCCTCTGCGGAACTAGTTGGCGCATAGCATTGGATCACTTGCAACTTATATTGTACATTCAGTTTTAACGTAACGTATATTACATGGTTTGTGATGGCTTGCATTACAGAAAATCTTAAATATTTCCATCGGGTGTTTGGCAATCGATGCGTCTTCCATTCCATTGCGTCACTGTAAATTAGACGATAACCCAGAATTGTCACTTTCACGATTCTATAAACATAAAAGTTACACATCATCGTAATCTATAGATCTACAGGTTTATAGAAATTCTACGAGTGATCCAAGAATTGACCAATTATCAAGTGTCTAAGTATGACATAATCAATAATTTTCAATCAATATTATGACAACTATGTTTTTTGGGTATTGGAGCATCTTGAGATTTCTTAACTCCCAATTAGGTCAATTATGTGGACAACTGTAAGCAAATCTATAACTTTCTATGAGCCAGTTAAGTAGACAATTTGCAATGCTATGCTTCCTGTAACTTACAGAAAATCGATGCTTCTTATAGTGAATTACTAGATATTTATAGAAAGTATCAGAATTGACATAAAAAACAAAAGTTACAGATCATCGTAAGCTATAAGCTTACGAATTTATAGAAATTTTACGATAGAACCCAGAATTTCACTATTATATGTCATGAGTATATTCGCCGACCTTCTGTTGAGCATTGTCCTTTATCTTATGTCTTGTATTTTCTTTCTCTCAAGTATAATTTGTACCTCAGAGATTACGGTTTGAATCCATTCTTGATGAAATTTGAAATTTTCCTGAAGCTGTTCTTTTTCTTTTTGGGCTTACTCTTCTTCTTTATTTATTGAACTCCTATTGTCTTGTTGTGCTGCGAGCTGCAAGTCTTCTTCTTCACGTGTTTCTTTCAGTCTTTGCTTTACATAATTTTGTTTCCCTTTTGATCTCCGATCTTCTGTTCTAAAAGTGCTGCAAGCCTGTCATGTTTTTCTTGTTTTTGGGCTTCTTTTTCTTGCCATTGTTTCTGTCTTCGGGCTTCTTCTTCTTCTTGTTTTTCTTTCTATCTCTGACCTTTTCCTTGTTGGTAAAAGTGCCGCAAGCCGGCTGTTCTTCTTGTCATTTTTCTTTCTTCAGTCTACACTTTCAGTCGAGATTTTGATGTTTTCTCTTCTCGTTTTTCTTTCTATCCGCCTTCGATCTTTTTGTTGTAAAAGTACTGCAAGCCAGTTCTGTTCTTCTAGTCTTGGGCTGGGTCTTGTTATCTCTTGTCTTCGATTTTTTTCATAAGGTCCGGCAAGATTCCATTGACTTGCTCTATTTTAGTTGTTTGCTATATCGTGTATTGAACATAAGACACTCTGTACATTTCCTGAAACTTGATTCGAAATGTACGGAGGCGAAGTCAAAATGCCCGTACCCGCAAAATATCGAAAAACTAAAATATTCGGATTGTAGGTAATCGATCAAAGGATGTTTATGCCAAATTTCAGCCAACTCTAATGTGAGTTTTTTTTCTCTTTGCAGACGAATTTTAATAAATCAACCAATCGGAGCATAGAACTGATAGATTTCAAATGTCATTAACGTCCGCTTAAACTGAGTCACTAAGCTACAAACTATGCGCAGTTTTCTGCCGTTTATAGTGTCAAGTGGTCTATGAATAAAACCACTTTGTATATCAAACACCTGTTAAAACTAGAACACGATTTATCAACAATCAGCAGTTTAAGCAGGTCAACGCGTAAACTAATGTTTACACGAAATGGATATAAAAACCGATGCAGCCTATGGTATCAGTACCCATTTGGGTCCTTCTCTCCTCAGGGTCTCCTTACCTAAAGGAGAAGTAGCCTTACCAAAAGGAGCAGAAGCTACACTTCTCTTCAGGGTCGCCTTAGCCCAGATATTCTTGGAGCAATCCCCTTCAGGGTCACGTTATACCCGAGTCAAGATAGCATTTGACCTAACAAAAATAATATAAAGCTGATTTTTGGTAGAGATCATGCCTGAGGGCTAAGTTGCAACATACTCGGAGTCCTGGCCAATCATCCTTCCGCAACCCCCTTTTTTCGCCTCTTAACCCCCACCCTTTTAATAATTTATTGATTTTCTCGAAAACTATCCACTTTAAGGAAAAATGTCAAGAGAGCATTTTTGAAGCTGACAAAATTTCCCTTGCAACGACGTCATGTGGTACGCAGCAATGGCATATCAAATGAAGGGTTTACATTTAAAAAATATACTTTTGGCTATTTATTCTCAGTTTTTGTTTTTAGAAGTAGCATATTTTTCTCTAAAACGACCATGAAAAGGTAGTCTACTTGCGAATCTATAAGAAGTTTATCGCAATTACTTCAGCCAAAAAAAAAAAAAATTAGAAGTTTATCCGAGACTTCTCAGCTATCAATTTGCCAAATAACAGTTGCGCCTACCGCCCCGCGCTTTTTTAATCTTGACTGCGCTTGTGCAACAGAGTCCAATGAAAAGCGAGTTTGTCACGTGTTTGCGTTATATTTACATTTAGGGTTTGGACTCTGTAACGAATAGAGACATTTCCTCCATTTCTATTGACGTCCCCTCTCTATACAGGGTGTTTGGTAGGTCGATGCATATATTTTAGGAGGTGATAGAGTAAGTCATTTAGAACCTATTTAGACAAACTTATCTTAGTAGCAAGTCTTATAGTTTTCAAAATATGCCCGATTTAATTTTTTCTTAAAAAAATCTCACAAATCCTTTGTTGGGCGATATTCAGAAATACTGTCTCAATTATTTTTATTTTGTATCTTTAAGGAATGTCTATTTTTTGTGTTAAATGCATTAACAATAAAATAAATAAAAAATGAGCAATAAAGAGTGCCCGAGAGAGTGCCATTTTGAAGTCATATTAATTAATTAAAGTTAAGTTCTTTCGGAAAAAAAAATAGGAAAAAATAAGGACAACCAAGGTTTTCAAAGTAATTTAAAAACTTTTGTCACTTTGTGCCTTTTCGAATTGCACATACCACAAAATTATTATTATTTTTTTTTGGAGCAGCACAAAAATCTTTCAAGACTATAGATTCCCAAAAATGAGTAGGTATTTACAGAAAAAACTGGACTAGCCTTATTTTTCTTCTTTTCACAAACAAAATGTTCACTTTTAGACTGAAATGATGAACAGTTTGTTAATGTCTGGCTAATTGATAGTGATGTTGTTAATAAAGGATTTGTTTAAGAAAAAATTGAAATGGCCATATTTTGAAAACCATAAGACTTGGTACTAAGGTAAGTTTGACTAAATATGTTCTAAATGACTCACTCTATCACCTCCTAAAATATATGCATCGACCTACCAAACACCCTGTATATTGATTTCGAAAAAAGAGAAGAAAACAGGAAGTGCCATAGCGATTATCCCTATCGCCAGTTTTCCATAATCGACTGAGAGCTGGAAATGGAAAAAAATATTTAAAGACATGGATTGCGAGCCTTACTCTCGAAAACAGTTTCTAGGGAAGTTAGTCGATTACTTTGGACAACGAATATGTATCACCGAAATTACAGGAGCAAGAACAATTTTGAATTTCAGAGATAATATAGATTCAATATTGTTTAATTCTTGGTATACTAGGAAACTAGAAAACAGTGAGGCAGATGAAAGGTTGAGGGTAGTTCAGAAAGCTGCAGAAATCATGAAAGAAGATATACGTGCTGCCATATATGATTGCAGCGTTTATCCACCCGCAGATAATCCTCAGTTTTATGCAATATTCCTAAAAGTTTAGACACGCTACTGGAGACAATTATGAAATTAAAAAATTCAGAAAATAAACGCCAGGATACGAAAAAGGCAGCAATAGGTCAGGCAATAATAAGCGTATGTTGGCTGACCAAGGTCATTATCTCAAAGTCATATCTCCAATTTTACTTGGTATTGGTGTATATGTCCATAGAGAATTTGGCTCCAGGCATATCGTGGACTTCCTAAACAATTGGGGATTTTTGGGACCTACAACGAAACATATCAATATGAAAATCGCATGATAAAAGACAATGTTGAGACGGTTGCCAGCGAAAATAGTCTTGTCCAGTACTATATAACGCAGATTTTATTATTGAAACTCTTACTGGCCATGCCACATTTCACAATTTGCAGTTTGGGAGGAATTCGATTGAGTACTCCTTCGCCACCTGCAACACCAAAATCGATAGCTCGCCAAATTGACATTGTTTCTTCTACTGCAGCAGCAGAGAAAGATAACATTTCCATCAGTTGGTACAACGCATCAAAGACATTTCCCTTGAAAAATGTTATAGTAAGAGACATAAAAATCGGTAACACAGAAATGAAAAATTTAATGAAACATTCAAAAACTTTGGATCTATTATGGTTGACTAGCAACTGGGCAGTTATCTGATGATATTTAGTATGAATATCGTTGTTTGGTACAATTTGATTTTCGGTTTTTAGGAGTCGACAAACCACCATCCTGGGGAGGAACGATGAAACTAGCGCTTAATGGATACATGGAATGTGAAAAAACAAGTGTTACAATTTTACCTTTTATTAATATGTCTCCAACTGATCCAAGCACTATTTATTCTGCTTTGAAATATGCTTTAAAAGAAACTCAACAGCTGGGACAAGAGCACTGCATAGTAACTTTTGATCAACAATTGTATGATAAAGCGGTTAAAATTATAGTCTCTGAGCCTCAGACCTTCAGAAACATATTGTGCTTTTCACACGATTATGGCTTTCATGAAGGCGATTGGTTTCCTGATGGGTAAGATTTGAATAGCTTCATATTACCTATGTATATTGCGTTTTTCTCTAATGCCATAAATTTTCAGGTGGGAGTGGTCTTGAAGACGTATGGTGTCAAATTTATGCAAAAAACTCTGTGGTAAACATGATAGGAGGACACGCGTATAACATAGCCCTAAGAGCTCATTTCATCACTCAATAAGCCCTGGTTACTCTTCTCGAAAAGATAAACATCAATAAAGAAACCAGGGACCAATTGAAAATGTTGTTCCTGGATTTTCCAACTGGATATTCTACACCAGATAATGTCTATGAGAACGGAATTCTTCATATCCTTCAAGAAAAACTAAACAGTGTGATTGAAGCAATATCAAAAAATAGTCCAACTGCAGTTCTATGATTCCAATACAGGTTTATGCTGCCATATTTTCATGCTGCAGGGTCTTACCACTATGCCAAGTTAGCCCACTTGTATGTTCAGCAATGTGACGATCTTGAAAATTTTATGCCCAAGAACAAATACAAAAAAATTTGTAAAGCAGTATTTCACTATTCGTCGTTCGGAAGGCTTTTGGACTGGGGTCCTTACAGATCAAGTCATCGGGCAGGAACTGATGAGAAACTTCAAGGGACAGACACATGGAAGAGGTACAACCGAAAATACCTTGAGTCATTTTGTCTATTCTTTTCCTGGATGTCTTCCCCTGTGCAACGTCATGGAAGAATCATGTGGTCAAGCATATGAAAAAAGGTATCAGACTAGCGATCAGGTAAGAATATTTGGAAGTAGGCACTGTGGTTTGTAATAATAACCCATTGTTTTGTTATTTTTAGGACGTTGATCTAACTGAATCCCATAGAATTAAAGATTCCGAAGACTTACATACATTTATAGAGTGGTTTAGGAATCATTCTCCCTACGAAAAATATGTAACAAATTATACTCAATATCTACTAGAATAGCTGCAGATAAAACTATCAATTGTCATGTTGCCGAAGAAGTAGGAGAAAGATGTCTTAGTAGAGTAGACGGAAAACCATTTTCAGACATAAAGATATCTGTCATAAAGCAAGATCATTGTCGTTTATGAGTGGTACAATGAAAATCCAAAATGATATCGTCTCGGTTTCGACTCCCCAATTATTCCTACTGCTTTTTTGAGTTTTAAAATCAGAGAGCGACAAATCCGAATATTTCAGATATGAGTTGTCATCAGACCACCTTCTCTATTTGATGGGACCTATATATGAGAAAAACACAAAAGTCTGTTCTAACTTCATTTTTTCCGGAAAAAACAAGTGATATTTGGGAAGGAGGATTCTCCAGGACTTTTAGTATATTGATATTTAGCCCTAAATTATGATATAGGTATACCAAAAATTAGCTTTATATTATTTTTGTCTAGCTTTACCCAAAATTTCAACTATCTTGACTCGGGTATATTTTCGCCATTGATCTCTGTTCTCTGCTACTTGTCTTCATGTTCAGTGTCATCCAATTTTGGATCATTATTACAGCAGAGTTTATTATTTGCCATGGGTGTCATCTATGTTATGTCTGGTATTTCCTTTTTCTCAAGTCCGGTTTATACCTCAGAGAATACGGTTTGAATTCATTCTTGATGAAATTTGAAATTTTCCTGAAGCTGGTCCTGTTTTTTTTTTCTCTTCGGGCTTGCTCTCCTTTTTTATGTATTGAATTCCTACCTTCTTGTTTTGTAAAAGTGCTGCAAGTCTACTTGTCCTCTTCTTCTCATCCTTCTTTCTGTTTTTTAACATATTTTTGTTTCCCTTTTGATCTCCGATCTTCTGTTCTAAAAGTGCTGCAGGCAGGTCCTGTTTTTCTTGTTTTCAGGGCTTCTTCTTGTTCCCTTCTTTCTGTTTTCGGGCTTCTTTCTCATCTTTCTTCCTCTCATTTTTCCTTGTTGTTGTGAAAGTGCTGCAAGCCAATCCTGCTCTTCCTGTTTCGGAGCTTCTTCTTGTCCTTACGGATCTGTTATTCTTGTTTTCGAGCTTCTTCTTTTTCTTCGGGCTTCCCCTTTTCATGTTTATATTTATCTCTGATCTTTTTGTTGTTGGAAAAGTGCTGCAATCCGGTCCCGTTTTTCTAGTCTTTGGGCTTGTTCTTGTTATCTCTTGTTTTCAATATTTTTGGTAAAGTCCAGCGAGATTTGATTGGCTTGCCCCATTTTAGTTGTTTGCTGTCGCGTATTTACCATAGAATAGTCTGTACATTTCTTGAGACTTGATTCAAAATATGAAGTCAGATGGTGAAGTCAAACTACCCATACCTTGTCTAATTCTCAAATCGAAGAAGAATAACAAGATGCCAATTATTTCACTATTTAGCAAATTGTCATGGATTCCGCAGGTCCACTAAAACTCTTTTCAATAACCACTTTTATTGAACTCATTGACTGTTATATAATCTGATACTCCAAAGAAATGTGAGCTGGTGGCTCCCTATGTTAGCTTGACAATGGTCACCTGACTGCACACCTGTTTATGCTTGTTTTAAGAGCATGCGCTTTGACCTCTTTAGCATTTCTATCAACTTATTTAACATCTGCGCCTTTTTTAGGAGGGTCAGGTCTCTATTTAAAGAATTTTGTTACTATAAATTTTGTTTCTTTCCTACTCTCCATTATTGTGTTTCATGGAGGCAATCAATATTTTTCCTGATATTAACATTTCGATTTCAGCCACGTTATGCCTTCTAAGATCATATAATGTTTTTTTCTGACAAAATTTTCCCGAAGATTTGCTATGACGAATGACAATGTTGAAAATGTATTTCAAATTTGGGATTGTCAATTTTATTAAAATACTGCAATAATTAAAATATCGAGGCATGTATTTGCTTTTGGAGACATGACAAATAATGAATCCTAAATTTTTGAAGAATTTTGGCAATCCTACACTGATTAATATTTTTCCAATAATGGTCAGAAACTCTGAATTTCAAGGGTTAGTTTGGATTACTCAGAAGAATTAGGACCAGTGACTTGTTCATCAGATGGAATGCTATACCGCTTCCTCAATTTCTAATTCACTACAACTAACAGTCATCTATGGCCAGACATTAACTACTATACATAAATAAATAACTGTATTTTAAGGCCCCTATTATTTTCTTCACCTTTTGTATTAAAAATAAATGCCTACTACTACTAACCTTACTTTTTTGGACAAATTAATGTAGGTATATACGATAAAACACTCAATCTACAAAAATAAAAATAAAATGGAGCTCAGTAGGGGAAAACAACATTGAGAATGGAAGAATAAATCTCATCATGATCATTTTCAAAGCAAGATATGTCACTAGCCCTATTGAAACTGCACATTCAATTTTCACAGTTAAAAGCAATCAGACTAGAAAAGTGACTTCAATATGCTTTGAAAATGACTCTATGTATACTTGTAGGTTGTTCTAATAGTTATTTTTGCATGCCAATATTCAGGCATCCAGAGGCAGGGATAGACAAGACCCTACCCTATTAACATATTACATACTAACAAAAGTAATCTAGATAGCTACAACCTACAACATTTTTTAGAATTACCGCATTGGTCGCTAGTATTTTCTTTTAATAAATATATTGTACCTACTATGATCTTTTGTTAAATCACAGATTTCTAAAAATAACATGTTCCACGGTAAGTGCTCATTATTTTATTAATTAGTGGACAGTCTGTACCTGTTTGAAAATATGGAGTTGTGATATTCATTATACAATAATGTATCAATGAGGAAAATATTAAGTTTTAATTTAACAAATATGGGGTTTTAGAGTTTATACTAGTAAAAAAGCTGCCATCTCTAATGACAAATAACAATGAATAAAGGGAAATTACAAGTTACCTAACCAAACCTGACTTTATGCATGAATTACTCTCAACCTTGAAGCTCATCATAAATGATTACGAAAGCCAAGTTTCAGGACAAACATTATAAGGAAATGGAAGAAAGAAAAACTATAAGGGCCATTTACAGGTGTTGAAAGTCTAATTTTTCTTGTGAGGTGTTTGGCAGAATAACTCTGTCTTGAGAGAGATGTACTGTCTTTGTATACACATGTATATTTTTGATGCATTAGATATGGTAGCCTTTTCTAGAACATCTTTCATTACAATAACTAATGGTAACAATACAACAAATATTTTGTAGAAATATTACAAATAAAAATCTATAAAAAAGAAATGCACTTAAACAGCAAGAATCTGGAAACAAGGAAGCATAAAAATATCTGGGAAGCATATCATCAAAACCTTTTGTCATAACGTATGTCTATGTATAAGCATGCTAACCTTCGCTTTTTTCTTATAAGTAACGTTGCACGTACGAACCAGTTTATCACCATTGGCTACGCCCGGACAACCACCATTAATATTTTTATACAAATACTTTACATTTTCATCTGTTATATCGTCACCACTACCAGATGTGCTACTTGAACTTTCTCCGTTCGGTTCCACATTAACTTCATTATGAATATCGGCACTAACGATCAAATTACTCTGATTATCTGAGTTATTAGTTTGTGAATTATTTTCCTCGTGAGTGCTAGCAAGGGGTTCGCCTCCGCAACACTTACCATTTGTGAAGGCGAACTCGTAGTTGTCGTTACTGCTCGTTTCTGACGTTTCGTTAATTACAATTACCTCGGTATTAGATTGTTCTTTGTGTTGATGCGAGTGGTCGTCGTGTGTCCACTTGACGACCACTCAATCGATCCTGTGTGGAGCTAGTCGGCTGCTGTCAGGATTACCTTTGTAAATAAAAACTTGGAGTAGAATTAGCATGTCTATGGTGACCTGCATCGAACCGCAGATCCAAAATTGCACGGGCGCTTCGCGCAATAGGAAATATAGAGTCTTGAATATATCACCGCAAGTCCAAAGCACCACCATTAATAAACTGAAAGAAAATATGTTGTTTTTTTATTTTGTTGAGGATTTTAGTATTTAACCTACCTCATTCCTTCGGTGGACTTGCACCTATAATTCTTGATAAGTTGAGGCATACCAAGCATAGCCTCGGTGAACACAGCCAAAAATCCAATAAGTTCAACGAAAACAATATATTCTATAAACAGGTACATCAACAATGAAGCGATTATGGTAAAAACGAGCATGCAGTCTAAATACGATTGGAAGTCAGACCAGTTCCAGAAATTCTTGGCATCGAAATCTGAAAACGAAAAATTATCCTTTGTCCGATAAAGCCGAAGTTATGTAAAAATGAACTGTTACAAAGTGAAAAATAAATGGAATTTGCGGGAATTTGTTTGAATTTATTTTCAATTTGTAACGCATTAGCACACATTACCGTTTTACATGCAAAATGGGACCCATTTAGATATAATAAATGTATAGGTATAGTATGAGCAAAAAATAATGCCTGAATTTCATCTTGACGTTCTTTATACATATATCCAAGTTTAACTGCATAAATTCGAACTTTACGTGCGACATAAAACTCTTTTGAGTATCTTATTGCATATTTTTGCCCATACCATGAGAATATTTTAAAAAAAATTATATAATGATCTAGAAGGAATAATACTTAATATAATATGCTATATGGTACTTCTAAGTATAATTTCTATCCTCTTAAACAAGTTTTTTGTATTAATGTTAAAAAGATGTCTGTAAGGAAAAATTATACTTTTTACTCCCTATTCATATAAATCTTATGAAATTCATTTTAAGTGCTGTGTGATTTTTTTTTCAAACCGCTTTATTTATTCTCGTATGTTGAAATGTATTGGTTAGGTTAATATTGTTTTTAAAATCTTGCCAATAACTAGATAAGCACCAGCATCAGTTTTATAACCATAAAGGCTGCATCTCTATATTTAAGATTACATTTTGTTTTTGTTACCTTCTAAATTGTATTAGAAAAATTGGAAAGATGTTACCAAAAGCGAAACCCATATTAAATCAATCAAAACCCCATTTGAATCCCAGAACAAAAAACCCTAGTTAGTTACTGTTTTGATGCTATAATAGGTATTAATCAAAGCAGATAAATTATTATACGAACAAGCTAAAAGCTACAGCGTGCAAGCCTATTACCGATTATATACTGCGGAGGGCGCGACTTTGTAGCAGAGAGAGATTTTAGCCTCGTAACTTCCTGGATATTAGCTGCCAAATAAAAAAAATAGAGGGTATAAGTGATTTAATAAAATGGGTATTGTGAAAAACTACAAGGCCAAGAGTAATTAGATAAATCGGTATTGATTTTGTGTTAATCCTGTAATAAAACAAGCATAATATGGTTTAGCCGTTATTTTGCTAGGGAATTAAGTATATACTTACATATTTACATAAATCTGGGTTAGTTGTGCAAAAATTATTTGGGTTTTCACTACAATTTTGCATTAAAGCTGCCAGTAATTTTTTTTAAATACCTATGTAGGTACCTGCTAGTATAGACATCTAATAAATTGGAGCCAAAATTCTCTTTATAGGTATCAGATTCAGATATTTACTACTTTAAATTTGCAACCAGTATGGGTAATTACAATGCATTTTCATAGTTATTGTATGAGAAAGAAAATAAGCAATCACCAATAAATCATTTCAATCCATTCATATTTTCATAAAGTATTAAAAAGGGATTTGAATGCCATATTTCCCTTGAGGGTTTAAAGGATGAAATATCGAAAGCTCTTTGATTACAGTTTGGCATAAAAGCAGAAGCTTCATTTGAAAATATTGGAGCTTTACAATACTAGAAAAACCTATAATGTAAATCCTTTTTTTATTTGTTAGGTTTGGAAACTTCAAAAACAATTATCCAAGCAAAATTACTATCACAATAGAGTTTGTCAATTGAATAAGGTTCAAAGAGAAGCCTTGCGAATAATAAATGAACTCAGGCGTAAAACGACGGTCACATTATTACCACATGAGGAGTAGGTGTTATCAAAATATCTATGGGGCTCTAACGACACGTAACAATAATATGCACACTAATCTACTAAATAAAAATTAGGTAGAAGATATTTCTACAACAGGTGTAGTTAATGCGGTGACCATTTAGGATTGTCAATTAGAATACATAAATTTAGGCATCTAAGGGTTTAAACTAAAAAAATGTTTTCCAAATGTTGGTGATTTCTGAGCTAGGATTACTATATTTACATGGATATGTAAGATAGTGAAATTCAGATGAATCATACAAATGATATAAAAGTCCAAAACCGATTTAATGAAAACAGGACTATGTTTAATTTGGTAGAATCAACATTCCTGATTCAATTGGCATTGACAGATCTTTTGCTTTGCCAATAGTATAAAATCTAGGAAATTGGGTAATCATGTTCCACGCTCTGAACAAGGATTAGTATGTGTATGTGTGTGTTTGTTGGTAATATGCACATTGACTTGCTGGCATCTAAATCACATTTGACAAATAATCATCTCACTGTGATGCATGGAAATGGCTGTGGAAGCACAGTAAACAAAATAACTAGGGAATCAGAGACAGGGCGATCTTGTCTCGACCATTGTTTTGTCACATCATTACCTACCCCATCATCTTGGTTGACATTCCACTGGGAAATTCAGATCAAAACTTTATATGTAGGTACTTGAAAAAACTTTTTGCAAAATTCTGAATGATGAGAAACTTTCCGAAAGGATGAGGACTGAGGATTGGAGTGATGTTCTGCAGAAAAATAATGTACAACCAAAGAATATACGAGAGTCTTCATTGATAAAATATGATTTCTGAATCCATTACTGTCAGGATTATATCTAATAAGGAGGCTGAAGCCATGGATCACTGGTAACCGCTTGATATCAATTTGAAACAGAGAACATCTATTAGACACCAACAAACATCATGAAAGTGTTTATAGGGAAAGTCAAAACCATACTTTGCTATTTGAATAATAATAGTTCTTTGGGACATTCCCAGACAAACTAAAAGTAGCCTTTGTACAAGAAGAGAGACGAGGAAAAAAAGACAGTTACAGGCCTATCAGCCTTTTGCCTGGATTTTCCAAACTTTTTAAGCTTGCTATATGCTAAAGACTTCTAAAATTTATGAACGACTGTAACTTGTGCAACAGTAACCAGCATATTTTTTTAAAGGGAGAATCCACTCAAATGGCAATGTCATCAGTTTATAACGCTTATCCCTAATTTTTTTGAAAGCGGAGAGGGAGCGATGAGCATGTTCCTCGAAGGTATACTTATGACTGTCTTGACAGAAAATTACTTTTGGGCAAACTTGCTGGATATGGAATAAGAGTAGGGCCTGATATATTTGTAATATTTATAAACACGATCACGATATATACATGATAAGAGATAATTTAGGTCAAATAATATCAAATTATGCAGATGATACGAATTTGTTGGCTCGTGGTAAAGGTCTGTGTCAGATTTTGGTGAATAGTTAATATTTTCTAGATAAAGTAACAAAATGGTTTATTGAAAATAGATTAATTCTTAACAAGGATTAGACAATTATTGTACAAACACAGCACAACCAAACAATCTAACATAGAAAGTAATGTAAATTTGTCAAGTGGCAACATGAGGGTTTTGGAGAATACAAGGTTTTTGGGATTGTGTCTGAATGAAAATTTGGACTGGTCTTTTCATGTCAGTAGCCTTGTAAAAAGTTAAGTTCCATCTGCTATGGCAGGGTATTGGGGTAGCAGGAAGATATATGAATAAGAAGACTCTAAGAACGTTGTATCTTGCCAATTTCGAATCAAGATTAAAGTATAGAATCATTTTTTGGGTATTAAGCGCATATATACTCAGGATTTTTTCATTGCTCAAACAAGAGTGGTCAGAATTATTAAAAAAATTAACTATAAGCAGAGTGGATTCAATTTAAATTAAGCTGATTTATTTATTTATTTTTTATTTTATTTTTCAACGGGCAGCTGCCCAATATAAAGAAAGTTAACAATTATAACAATACTTAAACTCAATCAAGACCTAACCTAAGTACCTATACCAAATCCAATTTATCCTAGAGCTAGACAACCAACAGTAAACACATATGAACAGCAACATAACAATTCTAGAAACTAGGTATTCAAGTAGAGGCAATAAGAGTACCTAGTACCAAAAAGCAAAGATAATACTTTTTCAATGGACTTAGTTACATATAGCAGCACACAGGCAGCCCATCAGTTCCTTTTTAAATATTTTTTGAGTTTGAAAACAATCTAAATCGTCTGAAAATTTATTTGCTAGTCTAGCTGACCTGGATATCTATTCTCGAAACCGGGGAACAGTGTTCTCATGAGAATGATTGCACTCTCTTCGTCAGTGTTATGGAAATATGAATCGAGCGACGAAGACAGAACCTTCGCTCTCAGGAGAATGCTGCTCTCCTGTGGGAAATATTGAGGATAATATGAAGTGGTCTTGAACAGATGAAACTAACATATTTGATAAGGTTTGGTGGGAGACCATCCGGACCAGCTCCTTTATTTATATCCATACTTGATAACCATTCATAAATTGATGAGATTGATATATATTAAAATGGTAAAGATCGATGTCACCAAAAGTTAGAGAGTCATTCAGGATACAGTCCTCGTCGCTATACATTTTTGAGAAGTATTCAGCAAACAAATTGACAATATCCTCTCTCAAAGAACAACTTACATCATGACTGATGGTAGGTACTTATATAGCTTTCTTCCTTTCTGCCATCCACAAATTTCCAAAAATGTTCAACAGTGTTTCTAAGAGACGATTCAGTTAAAGCTGAATAATTAACATACCATTGCATTTCTAAAGATTTACATTTTGCTCTAAAATTAGAAAACTTATTATGAATAAAACCTTGAATTAAGATATTTTTTGTGTGTTTTCTTTTTTTCTATTATAACTTCTTTAAGTTCTTGAGAAAATCAGATGGGAAATTTTTGAGCTAAAATTTTCATTGAAGGAACAAAAATAACAACTTTTAAGTGAGCAATATTGTTGAATATGTTGACCATGTCATCAAGGGATTTGTTATTGAATAGCTTGTCCCATTTGAACTGGGATAAAAAAAGTACCTAATTACTGCGTCAATGTCTACTGATTTAAAGTCCCTATAATAGCCATCAACCTTGAGACCAGCGCTGTTATAATGGATGGATTCACATTGTATGGAAAAGGATATTGGTGGGTGGTAAGGGTCCATTGGTAGTAGAGCACTCTCTG